AGTATCCATACAAACCATATTCTTCAGGAGTATCCATACAAACCATATTCTGCAGGAGTATCCATACAAACCATATTCTGCAGGAGTATCCATACAGACCATATTCTGCAGGAGTATCCATACAGACCATATTCTGAAGGAGTATCCATACAAACCATATTCTTCAGGAGTATCATTGCAAACCATATTCTTCAGGGTTTTGACTTCAGCACCATAAATTCTATCTTAAAATGAAGAACAATTAGAGGTATATTTGAACTTATTAGAACCATGATTATTTTAGATCACCTATAATAACACGTTTAGAATAGGGATTTAATCTGAAATATTCAGTTTTATAATAAACTTTTCAGATGTTTTTACTGTCTTGCAGATTAAGTGAAAAGTGTTATATGAAATATTTCTTTTTAAGAAATGAATACATGACAAGGTTGATTTAAAAATTATAATTGAATAAACGTGCAATTTCTGTATTATGAAATTATTTATTCTGATCAACATTCATAATAACACGTTTTTCTCTTTTATCCTGTATCATATTGATACATCACATTCCTGTAGGCCAAGTCCATTAGCGCCTGATCCAATCAGGGTTCACTGCACTCTTCAGTCATGTGTTTGTTGTCTATTCTGAACCAATAGAAATAGTATGGCGGTAACATCTATCATTCTATCTATCTCATTATCCAATCAGAGTTATGAATCCCTCAATCGGCGCTATCGGTAAATGGAAATATTAACTTTTACTAAAACTATAGTGATATCATTATTCTGAAATAAAAACTTTATAATTTCATAAATAATAGGAATAAAAAACATTTCATTCTAAGTGTATTCAAGGATTTATGTAAAAATTGTTTTCTAAAACGAAATATTTACGTTTAATTAATCAAATTGTTTAGTCAGCGTCATCGTTTAAAGGGACCCCGTTCACTTCCTATCTTTATTTCTTCAACGCATTTTCTCATTTTCTTTTAGCTTTTTATCTTATTTTCTTATACGCATTTTCTCCTATTTTCTCTATGCGTTTTATCTTATATTTTCTTTTATATGTATTACCTTATTTTTTTCTTTGCTTTTCTCCTTATTTTCTTTTATGCTTGACTTCTTATTTTCTTCTGCGGGAATATTTTCGCGATAACTTATTGACCGGGTTGCTATTTTACTTATTTGTCCCAATGGGACGTAAAGCAACTTATCGTCCCTTTATTTTGGGAATCATAAGTCGGTATTGTTGGTCAAAGGATGGTAAAATATTTATGCATGCTATCACTGGTTTTAATAATCTTTCAGTTCAGTTTCAGCTTTCATCTGGGCAACATGTGGAGAGTAGTTCTCCTCAGTCTTACTTTACTAGGAATATTATATGTACACACAACAGATATTAACGATTTAAATCATGTTCTGCATTGAGTCATGCAATACCAGTACCACTACCTCTCCCCCCCCCCTCCCACTTCAGAATTCAAGTGAATATAAAGAATTAACCATATAAGGGTATAACCTATCATGTTTAACAAATATCGAATTATAAACCATTTCTTAAAAACAAAACAGAGAAAGTTTAGGTTGAGACGTAATGGGTTGAATGGACCGTAAACAAATTTCAAGTTCCCCTCCAGTTATAGAGTGACGGGTCTGATTCTCAATGGTACCCATAAAGTTTGCTTTGATCAAGAATGAATTAGATATCGATGCTGCTTCTTTAAAAAATTATTACTATATACAATTACTATATACAAGCTGAAGCTAAAAAAAAATAAAAATATTCAATTTTTTTTATATGTTGAAAAAAAAATTCGATTGTTTTAACCTGAGACGCCCTCCGGCTTCCCATGAGTGTCCACACAAAGTTTGGCCGGCTATAGGGAACATTATATAGATTAATTTGAATTATTAAATATTATTCTGTGGCCGAATTTAAAGAATTTGAGCGGCGGTTTAAATTTAGGCCGCGGTTTAAATATGGTTGGTTCCACTAAAAATTGTATCAAATGTTTCAAGATTTAAGACGGCGCTGAATTTAAACCCGGTTTTGGCGGATTTAAACCACGGCTCAAATTCTTTAAATTCCATCTCTGGTCACTTAAAAAAACAACGAAAGTTCTTTTAAGCTCTACACTCTTGCACTTCTAATTTTTATTTTCATAAAATAAAAAAAATTTCAGGAAGAACATCCGCATTATTAGAGTGCAATCAATCGTTATTGCTTCTGGGATAAAAATTTTTCTGAATAGAAAATAGAAAATATTCAGTTTACAGGAAGTAAATATGTTAACAGTAAATAGAGTTAATTATACCGGATCCGGATCTTACTGATTTTAAGAAAAGATATTCAGCCAAAAAAATTTTTCTAATAATTTCTTGATATAAATTGCAGTGTTTATTTGTGGACTCTGTGAACGCTAAGTATTCTTAAAATAATAATCAAAATGTCGTCTGTGCCTTTTTGTGATTTCATTTACGGTAATTTTGGTTTCGTAGTTTTATTCATCAAATAAAACTAAAATCTTGTAAAAATTTTAAAAAAAGAAGGAAAACGCTTGACAACCATATTTTAATTTAGAGACAAGCTTTGTCTTAATATTATTAATAATTATTAAATATTAATCAAGATATCGTATCGTATTGCAATTTACTGGGAAATCCTGTAGTTTTTGCAAAACCATAGAGTTCAATAATATTTTGGTAAAAAACACTAATCAATCTAAACCTATAGAAAAGAAAATATTAAATGCTATGAAAACACGGTGCTGAAAACATTGCAGGATATATCTAACTTGTTTTTTTTTCAAGCTTTCGTTAAATTTTATTGATTTAAAACCTGCTTTTGAAGCTCAATTCAGCATTGTACATTTCTTAGACTTTGAGGTGTTACTTGATTATTTTTTAAGTCATCTTTCATTTGGTTTTACAATTTAAGAAAAATATTTTGGTAAATCAAATAAACAGAAAAAAGGTTTGAATTTGATATTAAAAAGGTGTATACCATACATTAAAGGTAAAATGCAAAGGAAAATAAAAGTAAAGATCGGTTCCAAAAAATTCAATACAGGCTTTCCTTTGGATTATTTTGCTGCGGAATTGACTTGAATTGAATTGTAATCCAACCAAAAATATCCCGCCCCCCCCTAAAAATAATACCCCTGTTGCGCCTTATTTTGATTTAAAGGTCTCACACACTCTCAAGCAAAAATGGATAAGAATTATGTCAATTAGTTAAAACCAGATCTAACCAGGGTTTTACAGTGTTAAAATGTAAAGGCCAAAGAGCTACTGAAAAGCATAAGTGAGTTAGAGCGGTAAAATCTAAGCCCAAGGCGTTGCGACACTTCAAAGTCGACCCTGTCTTAAAGATAGATGAGACTGTTCAAAAGCAGACTGAATGTATGTGACCTATGAACACAAGTTCTGTGATATGTCCAGTCCTCCCTAGTACTCAAATTCTAATAAAATGTTGGAATTTTTAAATGTTACAAACCAAGTATTTAGGATTTTTTTCTTCCGGTGCATGTAGGAAACATGATTATTAGCTCTTTAAACTAATCAAGATAACAAAATGAAACCTTTCAAGTGAAAAGGGTTATTGGAAATTTAATGAAGAATGCATACGTATAATCTAGACACAGGGAAAAAGGTCTTTTTTGCCACCTCGTTGCTTCTCTAGAATTGATTTTAAGACTAAGAAGGAGGAAAGCAGATTTATTTTGTTGCATATTAGAAACACAAAACTTTTTTTTCTCTTTTAAGGAGAGTTTTGATTGGAAACATAAAGATTTGAATAAATGTTTAATTCAATTTGCGTGTCTATATCAGTCTGTGTTGAGATATTTTTGTTTTTAATTAGGGTTTCCAATTGGAATTCCGTTGCTCTGAATTGCGCTCAACTGTTCTCGCATTGTGCAGCGGAATTGGGTGCAAGTAAAATATACTTTAGTTGGAAACACTATTTTTAATGGATGTAATGATGCAGATGCAGAGTGATTAATGTCTGCGGCAAATGTCAGTTCCTTTAATTAGAAGGAACAATCAATTGGGCTTTTTTCATTAACAACCAGAAAAATTTGGAATTTCCGATTTTGTGAGCATTAAGGTAGTATGCAGTCTTAGACAATGATACTTTTTATTTTTATTTAACCCCCCCCCCCCCCGGACCAGCAAGAATAAGGTTAATAAGACGACTGCTCTACAATATCAATAATTTTTTTTGTTGATATTTTTCATATTCAGAGTCACTCCCTTTTATTTCAATACATGGTTACTCATAAAAAATGAGAATTTGTAGACGAAAATAAAAAAACCCATTTTGTTCATTAATTTTATAATTTTCTAAAAATTACATACTATTTTGTTTTGGACCTTAATTAATTCATTAGCAACTACAAGATCTTGAAAAATTCAACAAATAAATTAACCAACACAACTTGGTATTTTAGGAGTTTTATTTTGTCATTGAAGTACAGAATCTGAGTTACAACCATGCATTTTTCTCGTAAATGTATGAACTGAGTTAACAGCGATTTCTTCAATTTACAATTAAAAATAGTAATATGGTAATGATAAAATAAGACCTATACAATACACACCGACTATATAGATTCGGGTTTTATCATCTTGATCCAATTAATTATATATTTTATCTATAATTATCAAACCGGTCATTCTATTTAAATCAATTGATATTAGTTGAAGGATAGCTTCAGTTTTTACTTTTAACTTAAAAAATTCATCTTTAATCCTTCTGAATTTCTGCTGCACAGACAAAATTGAAATGGTGAAAGATGTAGTATTGTAGTGAATCAATGATGGTACTCTTTAAGCCAAGCTTTCAGCCTAAAGTGGGGGGCTTTTCTTAGTTTAATAGAGTTAAAAAATCTAATCTCAGACCAATACTTTGAGTTATCAAGTACAGAATTATTTGAAGTATTATTCTAGATAGAAAAAACACAATTTATTTTTAAGATGACTAATTCCCATCACTAGAGAGAATAAAGGATATGATGTCAGAAACTGAACTATCAACTGGTAAACACGTATATAGTCAGATATATCTGGAAGGGAAAAGTATAAAGGTAAATGACAGACGGGGGAAGAAACCAATGAGAGGGGAGAAAGAGAAACCAAAAGGAGAGGGGGGGTGGAGAATGGAGCCAGTGGGTAGTGGTGAAGAGAAAAATGGAGCCAATGGAAGCCCAATGGAGAACTAGAGACAAGGGTAATGGAGCCATAAGGGGAGAACTGGAGAGGAGGAATAGAAACCAAAAAGCTTGAATATAATTTGAAACCCGTTTCATCAATAAATCTTGAAATCAAAGATGTTTACTGAATTTTTCTTAAAACTCGTGTTTCTGTTTTCAAGATTAATTGTAGTTGTACTTTTAGGTTCTTGAAAAACTTCTGAAAACTTGATTTTTTTTTTTTTTTTG